CTATGAGTTGGGGTCGACTCAACGGCAAACAACAACAACAACATAATAAAAAAAATTGTCCTTGTTGAATGCCTTTATTTTTCTAGTAATTAATTTTTCCTTACTATTAAAACAATATTGATTGGTGACATATTGGGTATCAAAAGCAAAACACTGGTCCTGACCATAGATTACAAATAAAAGAATCATTTTTGAGAATGCCCTAACTATTTAATGGGAGAAGGGAGCCTGCACTGTGATTTGCCACAGTCCCCAAATGACCTGAGATAGGCTGAAATTTTCTGAACCTGACGTACAAAAAGTTCTAATCAAGTTGATTTCTCTTGAGTATATGGCATAGCAGCCAACTTGTCAGGAAATGAATTCAGCACTAATTTCTCTTTTAGCTGAGATTAAAGTTTCCTTTGCTTATTTCTGAGAAGTATTATTTACCACTTAAGTTAGAAATACAGCAGTAAATTCATTGGAAGAACAAATAATAATAGCAAGAGACCCATTTATTGAGAGTCTACTATACAACAAATTCTGTGTTGAAACATTCCATTATGTAGGAACTTTTATTCCCACTTTCGAGTTAAAACTCAGGAAAACAACTTAATCAAAATCATAGAGTAAGTAAGTGATAGAACCACGATTCCAATACAGAACTGCCTGGTTTGAAAGTCTTTATATAATGTAACTATATTGTTGCTTATTAATCACCAGATAGAACTATGAATGAATGATTTCACTATCAGGCATGAGTTGGAATAGAATCCATGGCAACAGGTTAGAGATAAACTGTGGAGGAGATAGTACATCAGTCTCCCTTTTCAAGAATTTATAAATCTTCATGATACTTGGGAAAACTTAATTCTGATGTGTCAGGTGACAAGAGTGATTAAGCATTTCCAAAGGCAGGTAATGATGGAAAAGCAATAAGCACATTCTTTTATGAATCACTGCAAGTGCTTATGCTTGTTAAAAAGTATTTCTTTCTATTTCATTAGCCTACCAGAAGAGTACAGTTAAGGCTTCTGAAAAATCAGAGACAAAAATGATTGGTTGCTATTTGTCCTTGTGAAGACAGAGAATGGGGCAGAAAGGCCATTCATTACTAAATACTCTAGCTTACACTGAGCACAACTACCTAGGTTGTTGAAATCATACTTGTAAGTTAATATTTCATTGGTCTTCTACTTTAAGATTTTTTTAAAAACATCAATTATACAGTGTAAATTAAATCAAGTTTAAATTAATGTAATAATTCTATTTATCCTACTAGAAGTGTTTTGTTAAGGATTTATGGTATACTTTTTTTACAGAAATAACCTTTGCATAATTTACTCCCCATACAAGAGATGATTGGGATTCAGTTTTAGACACAAAAAAATCCCTTCATGGTGTCCTATCTTGCCCTTCCTGTGTCCTTTGTAACAGAAAAGTACTAGCAGAAGCATTTCCCGTTTATCTAGTTCCTGCTTTCTTATCACAGTTCTATTCCTCTACCGTCCCTTCCTGCCCTGCAAGGGAATTTGAGAAGGCAGGGAAAGATCTCTGTAAATTTGCCCTCTATCCAATACAATTGCATCCATGTGTCTAATTCTTTTCACTTATCGGTTCCCTCTCTATTTCCTTTTCTATACCTCTTTATACAGACAACGGATTAATGACAAAGTGCTTGTCTTCTCCAGAGCACTTCCAGACCACACAAACCTACTGAATACAATTCACAGCCGAACTAGTGGTATGTCTTTTTTTTTTTAAAAGGTATCATTTCTCCAATGCTGGGCAGAAAGGGGGTGGGTTGAATAGAAACAGAAAGATGAGCATTAATTGTTTTCCTATCTGTGTTATACTTTTCCCATAGGGTCTCTGAGTTAGAATCGATTAGATGGCAGTGCGTTTGGTTTGGTTTTGGATCCCTTACCAACTATTTCCTACTTTCCTGCCATCATTCTATATCTTTCCCACATAAAAAACAACCATTTATTGAACTTATATTCAAAATTGTTTCTACTGTATACATTGTTGTTGTTTGTTGTTATGTGCCGTTGAGTCAGACCCGACCCATAGCGACCCCTCCTTGGGTTTCCGAGACAGTATCACTACGGAAGTAGATTGCCCCATCTTCCTTCCGGGGAGTGGCTGGTGGGTATACATTAGTCCATTCCATTTTAACAATACTTATGAAGTAGTAATAATAATAACAGCTAACACTTACTTTGTGTCAAGAATTGATTTAGTATCAACTCATCTAATTTATGAGGCTACTATTCTTCTCTTTTACAGTTAAAGAAGCTGATGTTCAGTGCCTTGGGTTACACTATTAAGAGGCAGGATTTGAATCCATGCATGACTGGATCTAAAGTAGCCTTCACATAATCTAGCCTAATCCCCAAATGGTAGCATAGTGCCTAAGGCACTTGACTGCTCACCAGAAGGCTGTCAGTTCAAACCCACCACCCACTCATCGGAAGGAAGGTTGCGCAATCTACTTCGGTAGTGATACTGCCTCCGGAAACCCAAGGAAGGGTAGCTATGAGTTGGTCCGACTTGACCGCACATAACAACAATAACAACATCTCGTGAACATTTCTCCCTCTCATCTCCCATATCCTCAGTCTTGTGCCCCCTAGGTTCTCTCCCTCAGTCTCTCCTCCCCACACGTCCTGTCCTTTCTGCTCCTTCATTCTACCGTGTGTCCCACATTCTTCTCATCACTTTACAATCTCATTTTCCTTGACCTTCCCACATTCCCGCTTTAATCTCTGAGACTCAGATCCTTGTGTCTTTATTTTCTTGAGATCCTTGTCCCTAGTGTTTCCTTATTCTTTTCGCCTATTTCTAGAGTTTTCCCTTCTTCCACAGAACTCTTGTCCTCCCCGCCTCATGGGATCTTTTCACCCTGGGAACCGTCCACCTCCCTTTCACGGAGCCTAGAGGTTGCGCTGAAGGATGTAACGTCCGAGTGGCACCGTGGAATCCGCCCGCTCCGCGGAAGCCCCTGAGCGCGGTGCAGTTTGGGGGAACATGGCCGCTTCCGGTCTCCCTCCCAGGCCGGCGCTCGCATGACAGCAGCCCTTTCCCAGAGCACTCCGCCCTCTGCTCCTCCCGCCCGGCAGTCGCTTCGGCCTCTCTCTCCTGCTACCTCCGCCGGACCATGGAGAAGAGCTCCAGCTGCGAGAGTCTTGGCTCTCAGCCCACAGCGGCGCGACCGCCTAGCGTGGACTCTCTGTCCAGGTAACCAGGGTGTCCCGGCCCCGCCCCGTTTCTCGTTCAGAGGGGATGGAGATGGGCCGAGAACCGACTGGTTGGCGCCCACTTCGCAGATTCCGGCTTCTGAATGCTGCTCCGGAATTCTTTCACTGGGATTTGGGAACCACTTCTTTCTCCCTGTCTGGGAAAAAGGAGGTTAAAACTCGCTGCTGCTTCAGCAGCCCTTCCACTTTTCTTGTTGCCATCCAATTTTCTCCCTCATCGAGGTAGCCTCAGTTCATTTCTTTCTGATAGCTCTCATTCTTTTTCAAACCTTTTTTAGACAGCCCTTCCCCCAATCCTCCCCTTCGTTTCCTCCCTGCTTTTCTTACTCCACCACTCTTTCTAATCCCATTCTCCAGGTTTTCCTCTTCCATCTTATTTCTTTCGTTTTCGGGTTCTTTCCCAGTCCGTTGCTCTGTCAAATCACTTTCCTATCTCTTTCACGCTTTTCACTTCATTCTGATTATCTTCTTTTCCCACATTTGCTTAAATACGTAAATAAAATAGTCTTCCGTGCTTTTTTTTTCTTTTTTAAATCTTCCAACTGAGAGTCAGTATCTAGGAATCTGAGTCGCTCTTATCTGAGTAGAGGTGGGTTTCATCCTTCCTATTGGCTCACTAGGTTGTCCTTTTCTTGTACCAGCTGAGATTTTTATCCTGGGATTTTGAGGAAGACTTTAGTATATTCAGCTTTGCAGAGAGCACTTGTGAATATTAGCTAGATATGTTTTGGGTGCATTTTTTTCTGTGGTTTTTAGAATAGTGATTGAAAATTGTTTTAAGAAATAATTGTGAACCTTATACAGCTACAGTGAAATCATGTTCTTTTCTAATGGTCAAATTGTCATTCGAGAGTTAATGGATACTAAACTGTGGTAGAAGAAATACGCAATAGTCATTCACCCCACCTCCACCCACTAATAAATTGAAATGTGCTTTTAATTGAGTTTGGACTCTATTAAATATGGGTGGCTGCCATTTTTTTCCTTTTGGTGTTCAGTGCTTTCTTGGGGACTCATTGGTGATACCGTCGTTTTAAAATTAGATTCTCTTCCTATATGCACTCATACTACCCTGCCCACTCCTTTTTCACAGTTCTTAACTAGCAAACTGTAATAGTTGGCTTAATTAACTTCTCAGCTAGGCTATAAACTGCTTGAGGGCAAGGATCTTATCTTAATCATTTTCATATCCCCAGCACTTAACATAGACAATGCATATGTAGATGGTCAACAGATGTCTAAACTAGCGGATTGGATTAGCTAGGAGAGAAGATTTTTGCATTTAGTTATGTATATTGTACATTTATTTCAAGAATTCTTGAATTTTTTTGAAGGTTATTTGTTACTATGAAATTTAGAAAGCCAAGCATTTTTATGCTCAGTTTAAAATCTTTCATTTAGAAAACAGATTAGAAAATTATGATTTCATGCAAAAGTTACAGATGACAACTGTGGTTCAGAAAAGGATATAAAAACAACAAAGGAGGAAACTAGTTATCTCATCCAAGGGTGAGCATTTGGAACTACGGAGGTAGCTTGGTTCTAACTATGGTACATCAGAAGGAACCAACACTGAAAGCCCGGAGTCTCTGGCTCTGCAGTTGTTGGCTCAGCTAGCTGTGTGGCCTGTATCACTTAACCTTTCTAGTCCTCAGTTTCCTCATTTAAAATAAGGGAGGTTATCTACAAAATGGATAAGGTCCTTTGCCACTCTGTAGTTTTGTCACTTTATCTTAATGATAATACTTATGGAGATTAATATATTCTTACCAATTAGCAAGATAGTCTATTTACAAATAACCTTTGTTATGTAGTTTTAGAATTATAGTCAATGAATGTTATCTGTTATTGTTATAGACTAATGTACCTAACTGCCTATGCCACTTTAACACATTTATTTCCTAGTAAAAGAGAAAGCCAACCACTTTAGTGAGAAGGTCATATATGTATTTTAACTTTGTAATAAAAAAATATATTACACGAATTTGAAAGAATGTCTCATCCTATTTTCTGAACAAAAACATAGGTATGGCTTCCTCTCCTCTGAAAGGTAAAAAAAATAACATTAACTGAATGTTTACTGTTTAGAAGTCACTCTATTAAATTCTTTCATATCTTGAAATAATCACCATACATGTATACTAGTATAGAATAGCTGCAATTTAGACACTTGTTAGAAAACTTAATTTTAAACTTAACATGGGCTAACACTAAATCATAATGAATCTAATAATACATAGGGTTGGGAACCATGGTTTTAATAGCTATGTCTACCTAGAGTGCATAAGTTTTTACTTTTGTTAACTTATGACACAGTAAAATATAGATGTTTATACTAAATGAGCCTTTTGCAGAAATACCATTGTTAAATACAGCTTAGTTTTATGCTTTCTGTTTTTGTTGTTGTTGTTATGTGCCGTCGAGTTGCACCTGACTCATACTGACCCTTCCTTGGGTTTCCGAGGGAATATCACTGTGGAAGTAGATTGCCCCATCTTCCTTCCGAGGAGTGGCTGGTGGGTTTGAACTGCCAGCCTTCTGGTTAGCAGTCGTGTGCCTTAGGCACTATGCTACCAGAGCTCCCTCTGTTTTTGTAGAGATGTTTAATTAGGAAATTGCCTTGCAAATTTATTTTTATATCTCTTGCAACTAAATGGTTAATAATAAATACCGCTTACTGTGTCATAGATTGTTTTTTATGAATTAGATTGGCATAAGTTTCTACTGAGTTTAGCTCCAAAGAAAATTGTTTATGCAAAAAATTATGTATACGTTGTTAAGGACTCTATGGTGCAGTGCCTAAGGCATTTGACTGCTAACTAGAAGGTTGGCCGTTCAGACTCACCAGGTGTTCTGTGGAAGGAAGATGGGGCAATCTACTTCTGTAAAGATTGACCTCCATGAAAACCCAGTGGGTGTTACTGTGAGTCAGAATCGACACTATAGCAGTGGATTTGGGTTTTTTGGTTCTGTTTGTTAGAGAATGAAAACTATGTAACTGCATGTTCTCTTCAGTTTACCAAAAAACTTCAGTCAAATTTATAACTGAAGTTGGTAATCTAACCCCCCAAAAAGATCCATTGCCACTGAGTCAATTCCAACTCATAGCAACCCTAAAGGACAGAGAGAACTGCCCCCCTCCCCACCGGGGTTTCTCTAAGCTGTAAATCTTTACGGAGCGGCTGGTGGGTTAGAATTGCAGACCTGTAGGTTAGCAGCTAAGCCTTAACCGCTGTACCACCGGGGTTCATCTCTTAATTCTTCAAGTGCTTCTACTATTAGATGAACACAGTTTAAATTTTATGTTTAAATGTCATCTGTAAGATGTTTTAAGTCTGTCTGGGAAGTAGGAAGGGTAGAAATCTGAAAAATAATACACTAACCTATCTTGTTGGAGGGAGCTCTGGTGGCATAGTGCCTAAGGCACTTGACTGATAACCAGAAGGCTGGCGAGTCAAACCCACCAGTCACTCCTCGGAAGGAAGGTTGGGCAGTCTACTTCCGTAGAGATACAGCTTCAGAAACCCAAAGAGGGTCTCTATGAGTCAGGTATCTATTGTTTTGAAAATGACACTCTCCATTGAAGTTGAATGAAAGGCTGTTGTGGGATCATACTAAACATAAGTTGCATCTCCATACATTTCTGTAGTCATTTCACAGTTGCTGTTGTTTCTAGCTTTGCTTTCTATTTCTAAGGCCATGATAGGCCTATACGCCTTTCATCATAAAAGACCAATTTCATTCTTTATATGATATCCAGGCAGCAGTTTCCTAATCAGCTATAGTTATTTCATCCTGTATCCTTAAAAAAAGTAGTTTTCTTCAATGAGTCCTGCTTATTATTTCCTCCTTCAGTGAACTGTTCAGAAGCTCTTGTAGATCCTGCTGCTGTCCATTTTTCACACATGTCCCTGCAAAGAGAGAGAGTTGTGAAAAAATTTGCTTCAGCACACTGATAATCTATTCCATAACTTTGTTCTTACTGGTCTTGCTCTGTTCTTGATGTAAGTGTGATTTATGTACCAAAACACCAATCCCACACCATCAAATTGATTCCAACTCATAGTGACCCTATAGGACAGAGTAGAACTGTCCCATAAGATTTCCAAGGTAGTAAATCTTTATGGAAGCAGACTACCTCATCTGTCTCCCATGGAGCAGTTGGTGGGTTCGAATCACTGATGATTTTGGTTGTTAGCCCAATGCTGTAATCATTGCACCACCAGAATTCCTTCTGATTTATATAAAATATAGATACATTTTACATACAATAGGTATGTTAGTCCTCAGCCTCTTAATGATAGTAAGTTATATAGCAGATTTTGACATTAAGTTTGTACTATGTCTCTGCCTTCTTAGTATAGTTTTCCATTTTTAAGTCTGTACACTATTGCAAAACGTACTGCTTGCGTGGATTTCTTAGTGATCACTTTTAACTGCATAATCAAATGCTAAAATACTGGTGTCTAATAGGTGCTTGGGAGCTTTGGTAGCACAGTGGTTAAAACATTTAGCTGCTAGCCAAAATGTCAATAGTTGGAACCCACAAGCCACTTTGCAGGAGAAAGATGAGGTAGTCTGCTTCCGTAAAGATTTATAGCCTTGGAAACCATATGGGACAGTTCTACTCTATTCTGTAGGATCACTATGAGTTGGGATTGAATTGATAGCAATGAGTTTGTTTTTTTGGGTCTAATAGGTGCTCAGTGAATATTTGAATAAAGGAATGTTGACTAAATGTTCACCACCAATTTTATCTGATGTTTCCTCCCAAAAGGTTAAAAAAGATTTTTCTCTGTTCATTTTGGCCTCACCAATTATAACCTTCAAGTTCAAGCTGAAGTTATTCCCTCATGAAGCCTGTTGACATACTGCTTGAATAATTTCTTTTAGAAAGATCAGCATAAGGCCCTGTGAGGTAGAGGTTAAATACGTCCCAAATGTCCAACTTTTCTGAACTGCTGCGCAACTCCATTATCT